AGGATTAGAGATGGGGTGGAGAAATTCATTCGGCATTTTGATGCAGTGACAGATGATTTGACAGGATGTTCCTTTTTGCTGTGTTTTCTTCTGGTCCAAGAACAATCGAGCCCTCCTGCTACGGTTCTGCTCCTCTTGGTCACTGAAGGGGTCTTGTGGGAATCTCTGTATTTATAGCTGTGAGTAGCTCCCAATTAAGTGCAGCTAATTAGATGCGACTTCTTAAAAGGATGTAAGAAAGCCTTACTGTACTTAGTAAAGAGGGTGGCTGCCACAGGAGTTGACATTGCAGGTTTGTGAAATGCTCCAAAGGTCATGTTGGTAGCTCAGGTGATAATAACATCAGAAATCAAACCCAGTTTGAAACTTAATTTAACAGTTTAATTATACCAAAACATCTTTCCTTGGGGGATTTCTGTATTTGTAGGTTGCCATGTAACAGAATTCTCAAGATGAACTATAAGGAGAATTTAAAACAAATTAAATTCACTGACAGTAGTACAGTGAAAATGTAATATGATGTACAAGCAGAAAAGCAATTGAAGGAGAGTCAAATAGCAGAGTGTAAAAGCAGCTTCAATTAAAATGATACATACATTTTTCATACGCTCTTTAAGTTTTATAAACAGCTATGTTTCTTTGCAACATTTCAGCTTCCTTATTTTTTGCTTCCATTATTTTCTCCAGCTGTGGGATATCCAGTTTATATTTATGGACTTGGTCTGTGTCTTTATCAAGTTTTGCTATACATGCCTGCTGTTGAGATTTGTGAAAGTTTTGAAAAGGCCTATTTAAGATTGCTTTTTAACAATGCAATTCTATGTTTATCTATCCCGGAATTAAGTCCTGTGGAGTTTTAACAGGGTTTGCTCTCCAACAGGTGAGTATAGGATTGCACTCCTAGGCCTCAGCTCAAATTTAAGGTATAGCTTCTTTCTTCAGGACCAACTAAAACTAAATTTACAGATAAATGTCCCTAGTCAGGTGTTTAGTATTGATCCATCTCTTCCTTTCCTCTGGGGTGGAGGAGGGCATTGATCAAGTATGTGTCTTTCCCAAATGTGGCTTCTTCTAGCAACCTCTTGGAAAAATCAAGATTTAGTATTTGTATCCTGGCATTTGATGAGCTGGAATATCCCCATTTGTTATTGTGGTAGGTATTGATTAAATGATGAATTGGGCCAAACTGAATCTGCTAAATGCACATATCTTTCTAGCTGTGAAATTTCTACCCATTTTGTTTGGTGTTGTCTGTAGACAAAATAACTACTGAACAATTAGAATAAATTATTATTCAGCTTAAAACACCCTTTCTAGCCAAGGCACTCAGTTTTTGCTAATTCCAAATGGCAGTTCAGTGTGTTTGTGTTGCAGAGGATATTAGATATAATTCAGACGTGCATGTTGATGGAGAAGAAAAGCAATTTGCAAGCCTTTAAAAGTCTGTTGTCATGACATTCTCACCGTCCCTTTTATGGCTACATCTATTACTTGTACTGAGTACAGTGCATTAAAATAACCAGCCTGCCTCAAGGAAAATCTGTAGAGTGGAGAGAGGCAATAATGGATATTGACATAACAATATGTCTTTGTGTATTTTTGCTTGCTGCTGTATTGCAAATCAAGCCATTTTCCCTTTGGAAATTGGGCACTGGAGTAAGGTGCAAAGGTTATGTTACTTTACCAAAATAAAAAGAAGCAATTTTACAATTGACAGGTAGTTTAGTGCAGAAGGCCTCAAGGCTGGAAGCAGTATTTCCAGCAGTCCGGAGGCCTCTGTGGAAATGTGTGGCAGAATTTATTTTTTAAAAAAAAATCATGAAAACATACAAACCCCTAGGATCCTTGGTGTCCCCTTCAGGTTTTTAAAGCAATTAACTTGTTAAAGTATTTAAAATTTCTAGGCATTTGTATTACCGGCTAAATAATGGACTTCAATTTGTTTTTTGTTTTTTTATTTATATACCACTTGTCCTGGTCACCACCTTCCTATATAATCAGAGTAGTATAAATACAGTTCCAGGAAACTGCCAGAGATTTGCCAGTAGGAAACTGGTTCTGGACAAGATTGTGTCTTGCATGCTGTGAAGTGTCAAGAGTCACGGTGTGAATGGATTCCTGGCCTGGCTTTGCTCCTGCATGCACAGGTAGCTGTGACTGGGAAGTGCTGGGGCCAGTTGGGCTGCTGTGTGAGCCATGCCCTTTCCTGAGGAAAGCACATGTGGCCTGCACTTTGGTCACATCGAGGCTGAACTATTATAAATACTCCATCAGGGGCTGCTTGGAAAGGCATTTAGAATTTGCATCTGGTATGGAAGGCTGCAGCCAGGCTGCTCTTAGAAGATGGTGGCATGGATCTTGCATCCCTGTGGCTGGCTATTTTGATGATGCTTGTCCTTAGTTGTTAGTCTCCAGACATAATTCAAAGAGCTGATTATGACCTTTAAGGCATGCATTTTCAAACCCTGGTGCTTGAAGGATCAGCGTCTGCTGCATGACCCTGCTCCCTTAATGAAATTATCAGTGTTCCACATCCTGTACTTCCATTAGCAGTAATGTGACCAGGGTGATACGAGACAGAGTCTTTTGGGTAGTGGTACCTTGGTTTGGAATTTCTTGCCAAAGAGAGCCACCTGGACCCACATTTTATAGCATTCCTCAAAAAATGTTTCATAAGGCCTTTGGTTTAGAGTAATTACTGCTCCTGCTTTGTTCTGAAAATATGTTGCTGTTGGTTTTTTTAAACTGCTGCGTTCTTTTGAATATGCATATCAAATAATATGTTTAGCAGTTTTGATGGATTGCTATTACTCTTGGTGGTGCATTGAAGGCTTTCCCCCCCTTTTGACAGAACAGCAGCCAAACATATTTATTTCAATTGCAGTAAAGAAAGGTTTTCTTCCTTCTCTTTTCTGTAGCATGGCATTTAGGCCTGTTCAAATAGTGGCAAATAAAAAAAAGGAAATCATTTACATTGGATTAGCCTCCTTTTTTACAGTTCACCAGAAAAATCTGTGATGCTGCTGTTACTGCAAAACAGCACTCAGTGAAGAGGAAAGAGCAAGGGTGCGCATGCCACCGCATTTGGGTTATTCTGAGGGCACCTACTAATCAGCGATGGGTGACGCAGTCAAAGTGTATGCACTGAATGGGCCAGGTTTCTCAACCATCCATCCTCATTTCCTTCCTCCACACACTTCACCCCTGGAAAGAAAACAGCCTGGATCCAGAATCTGCCCCTTCTCTCCTTGGACGGCTTCTTTCTGATTGAGCTCAAAAGCTTCTGCTTTTGGACAGGAGTGGGAGAGAAGCCAGTCTTTGCCTCTTCTCCATGAGATCTGCTTGGGGGAGGCACTTAGGGGGCTCTTCAGAAGAGCACGGAACGTCTTGTTGGGCCTTGCCGTGGGGAGGGGGATTGGCAAGGGTTATTTCTGCCCCCTGCTCCACCAGCCAGAATGTCCTGAGCAAAGCCCACTTAGGGAGTGGAGTGTTCCCCCCAAAGGAGGAAATAGTGCGAATAAGTCAGTGCATTTTGTGACTGTTGCAGTAAAAATCTGCCATTTGGTAAAAGGAAGGAGAAAGGTGTTGAAGACTGTTAAAGCTTTTTCCCCTGCAATAGATGTGAACCTGTGAGAAGTAAATCACAGTTCTACATCCTGCATTTTTAATCTCCCTCTTGGTGTTAAAAAGACTTCTAGTATCTTTATCTGCTGCTCTTAAAATGTAACACGAGGATGAATGTCTGTTTGAGTGAGGGTGCCACCTTAAAGAGAACCAACCCTTCTCCCTCTGAGTTTGTTTACCACTTGACACCCCACAGCATCCCCCGCCTTTCATCTTGGGGAAAAGTGAAGGAAGGGAAGGCTTTCCCTTTCAGCAATATTCTGGACTTGAACTTTTTCTCTCTACTGAACTCCGCTCTGTTTTGATCTTTACATTGGCCTTTAAAGACGCACCCTGGCATGCAAAGTGAGTCAGAATTTCCTGACGAGAATAGCCTGAGCTGTGGTCAACATATGGCACCCTCTGAGCTGTTTCAAGCAGCTGCCATCACCTATTTCAAATTCAGCCACTAAAGTGAAAGTGTGTTTCCTCAAGAATTCCAGTTAATAATCTGTGGCTCAAACAGAGTGAATGGCAATCATCAGAAACTTGGGCACTTTGGAAGATTTAATTTCTGTTCTGTGAAATGTAAACACATGTGTCTACAGGGAAGTATCTAGTGTAGGCTGCTGTGTTTATGCAGTTGACATTAGCATAAGCAACAGGTGGCGCAAGGCCAATTGCATATAAAGGCACGATGGGTTTCCCAGCTCATGATCTTTAAAAACTGAGCTATGATCACCTATCAGATTAATTAATTGATTATATTTATATCCTACGTTTTTACCTTTGGAGGAATCCAAAGCAGCTTAGAACATTCTCTACCACTCAGTTTTATCCTCACAACAACAACCCTGTGAGGCAGGGTGGGCTGAGACTCTGACTGCCCCAAAGTTACCCAGTCGTCTCTGTGGCTGAGCAGGGACTAGAACCCAGATTGCCTGAGTCCTAGATCAGTGTTCTTAACCACTACACCACACTGCTCTTTTATATCATTTCATATATGCATAAAACAGAAATGCATGGGGAAAATATACTTAGGTAGTTATTTTAAAAGACAAAATAAATCATGTGCTACAGGCTTCATACTAGATGATCTATCAAGTATTACAAGTGTTAGGATTTGGAAAATAACACCTGATATCTCATCCAGAGACATTTTGATGCCCTGATACTCTTTTCACTTCTCAAATTATTCATGTCTGTGACTCTCATAAGCAAATCAGCATAAAAATAATATTTCTCAGTGAAACGGTGAAATCTCACATTCAAACAAATATTTCTCCTGAACTAAGGAAGCCCATCTTAATAAATGAGAGGTTCATCATTTTTAAGAATACGTTATTGAAAACTTCAGCATGATGTTTGAGCGAGCTTTGTCCTTTCTTCTCATTTAGGATCTATGTTTACCCTGAAAGTCCAAGTTAATGACATAATCAGCCATCAGTATTTACGCCAAGCAGTTGTGGAAATCTTTGTCAACTACACGAAAACTAATTCCACACTAACTGGGAATAATGGAGCCGTATTGATACAAGTTCCCTATCAACTAGGTCTAAGTTTAACTATTGCATCGTATAAGGATGGTTATATGTTAACACCTTTGCCTTGGAAAACTGGGAGAATGCCAAGTAAGTACTATTACTGTTGTTATTAATTCTGTTTCTATACTGCCGACTAGCTGAAACTGTCTGGGTGGTGCACAACAACTGAAAAATAAGCCACCTTTAAAAGCTTGATTTTAAACTAAATGCACTTGCATTTTCTCCTGTTTATGCAATCCAGTTAATTGTCACAAACTGAGCATGACTTAAAGTCAAAGTAGGTCATGCCTGAATGTTACTGTAAAAGTAAATGGCACTGTCTTAGAACATCTATAAAATAGATATTAAATGAATCCATTAAATTATTTTAATTATAGAAGATCCTCAATGCAGCTTTGTTGAAGAAGGCGGAACACTTTAGTAGTATTAGTATTTTGGAAGTTGGGAGGAGGATGGGTGACATACTGGCCTAGTCCAAAGATTGTGACTACACTTCCAATAAATTATGGGTTGTTGAGAATCAGGCATGGTGCTGCTGCAGGCTAGCCAGTTGTTCCCGATGCTCTGCCTTAAGCTGTTTAGTGCTATGTCCAAAATGAAGTCTTGCCTCCTGGAAAAGAAGAAGGAGCACACGGTTTGTTCTGGGGTCACAGTGGAATCAACCGGGCAACTTGCCTTGTTTATGAAATGTGTAGTTTTAAAGCAAGGAGGGCTATCAAGAAGTTGCAACTGGGCCACTATCTCCAGTTATGGTCTTGCGTTTTCCAGGTAAGCCCGAGAAGTTAGAATGATCGTACATCTGTTTGAACCTTTGTGTTAATACTTTTTAAAACTTAGTGTTGGCTTTCAAAAAAAAAAAAAAAAAAAGAAGTATTGTATGTCTTAGCTGTTTAGTTATATGGCTTTACAAAAAAAATAAAAATAAAAATGGAAAGGCTAATCTAAACTTATCATATCTTAGTACATAAGAACAACAACTTGGGTGTGTATAGATTTGAACGGGATGATTCTCATAATAATAAAAGGTTTCCATGCCATGGCAAAATAAGTATGTGAATCTGGGAGAGGGGAGTCAGTGTATATTCATTTGACTGCAGCGGCTCCATCCCCATGGCTCCAAGGCTGTTTCCCCGGCTCCTGCTGTTTGGCTTTACTGCTGCAGCAAGTGTTGTCCAAATGCAGAATTTTTCAAGGAAATTCAGCACATGAGCAGCACTCCCCTCGTTTGCAGGCAGAATCCTTCTGAGAAACAGCGCTGCTTCCTTGCAAAAGTGATGAATCTTGAGACTTGCTGCTGCTCGTGCGTTTGGGATTAGCACAATTTAGCATTTCTCCTGAAAGGGGCCTCCAGCACAACTATGTCTTTATGCGTGATATTGCATATTGCTCCTACTCTCCAGTTTACTGCTGTAACTAATATGGTAATTAGTATGCTCCTGGCATGCACAGTATAATTTTTATTTGTAATATTTTCTCACAAACCCAAACATACAAACAGCAGGTACTTAACTGATAACGTATGTATGTATGTATGCATTTATTTATTTATTTAAAACGTTTTATATTGTTCTAGAGTAAAAAGTCTCAGAACGGTATACACTCAGTCCAAACATTGGAACAAAGCATAGCAGATCAATAAGACAATAATCATAAAAGTTCTAATACAGTCAGTAACAGTTAAACATATAAATAATAATAATACATCACACGATATAAGAACTAATGCACGGCACCTTTGTAATAGCTTTAAGCTTCTGTTTAAACAAACAAACCGTAATGTCATCCATATGTAAGCCACATGCCTGCAGCATTTTCAGATAGCTAAAAGATGCCTGATCTTATTTGATAAGATTTCCTTCGTTTTAGCATACACCATTGATAATCTTCTATCAAAATTTGATACTTTGAAACTTATAAATGGAAGTAATCATCTCATTTTAAATAATGTTTTAACTTCAGTGGCACTTGTCAAACAGACAACTTAAAAATGATCAGATGAATAGGATGATTGTGCAGGGAGTCAGTGCCTTGTGCCTTTGAAGACTGTTCTGTGAAAGCAACAGAATCTTACACTGAATCCAAATCAACTTAGTTCTTTTTCTGGTTGAAGTACTTTGTTCCCTTCTCTATCATGTCCTATATTTTACTGTTTTTCAGAGCTTTAGCCCCTCCTCTTCCTCCTTCCTTGCAATATTTAGTGACATAATTCTTATCTTTTGTCTCCCACAGTATATTCATCTGTTACGCTTTCACTCTTCCCCCAAAGCCAGGCAAATATATGGCTGTTCGATGATACCATTTTAATTACTGGGAAACTTTCAGGTAAGTAACAGAAGTACATATACAAGACTAAAACATTTCCTCTGAAGATGATGCCTTGTGCTAAACTGAGTGCCTGCAACTTCACCAGTTTAATTCTGACTAGGATTGGTAGGCACAAATAGTCATTGGGTGTTTGCATTTTGTAAGAGACGCTTCAGCCTTTTAGCACATGTTGGCTTTGCTGTCCCTACCAGTGGATGATTTGGATGGATGCAGACTGCATTGCCCTCTTTGCGTTTCCAAAATTGTAGAAGCCACAGCAAATTGGAGGCATGATGGAATCTAGCGCCACCGTGGTTTCAACCAGCGAGGTGACAGAACTGTGCATGGGAGTCCCATCACTTGATGCCTCTGGAGACAAGCAAGTTCTGCCTGGAATTATTGAGAGCTGCTTTGGGATTCCAACCAGACCTCAGGCACAGCTGAATGCACTTTCCAAGTCCCTCTGTTGTGTGCAGCGGGGCATTCTGTGTGAGAGGTGTGTCAGCCAAGCCTGCTTTGGGAATGGAAGAGCTTAGAGAGCAGGAAATGTGCGCTATTGTGCTACTTCTTTTCATGTTGCGAAGACTTTGAAACTGCTCTTGTTGATGAATTTCTGCGGAAGTGCATCATGGGAAAGAACCTGTTGTCTTATTCAACTCCAGAAGCTCATTTGCACACATCCACGGTTACATGTGAAGTTCAGTTCTATTTTCATTTAAATACAGAGTTTATTTTATACTGAAGAAGAATTTTGTTGTGTGGCTTCAATTCAACTGTCCTACAAAATGTGTGGCCACTAGAACGAGTTCTGTCTCTAAGCCTGCCCCTGTCCACCCACCGACTCTTTGATATCACCTCTTTGTCTTTAAAGTTGAACATAAACTGCTTAGAGATTTTATGATATTGAGTGGTATAAAATTAATATAATTAAATGCAATACCTCCTGGAGTTGATGTCGGCAAGCCTTAGGCATTCAGAGGAAGGATTCTCCCCTTCTTTTGTTCACTGTTTTATAGATTGCCATTAATTAGGCAAAGTACATAAATCTAATAAGAACCCAGGCCTCAGTTGTAACGTCTATAAAACGAGGCAGACTAGAGGGGGAGGAGTAAAAGGGAAAAGTGAGTGCAGGATGGGCTTTGCATCGCCAGAGCAGAAAGGTTAATTGGAGCCAAACTTGCTTTGCTGGTGTCTTTGTTGGGATGAAGGTGACACAACTTCCCAGCAGCAGTTGCTGTCCTGGTTGGGATGGGGGAAGTGTGACCCCCTGCTCTGTTCTCCAGTTAGAGGGCAACTAGCAATTGTCTTAGTAGCCAGGAGCTCCTCATTATTGCAGTGTGTCTGTCCCAGAGGAAAAGAAAATGGGCATTACATATGGAGAGAGAGAGAGAACTCTGCATTTATCTCACTAACTCATAAAACCTCTAATAGAAACAGTGGGTTTTATATGTGATGTGTGCATTCTGAGCTTAAATATGGGAAGCCAATATAGTATGGGCTTAATGGCTTGTGTATAATGATTGCTGATGATTTCTTGATGGCTGGGGAGTTGTAGGTCTTCCCTCTGTTTGAAAATGCACAGGAAGACACTGTAAAATGGTTACTGTGTGTTCTCTTGAGAAGGTTTGTGGTTTAACCATAGATGTGTGCAACTCTTTTAAGTGTGAAGGCTAGGACACAGAAGAGAAGATGTTGCATTTAAAGGATGATGGCCTTGAATTAGGTAAAAGCTTGCATCATATACAGATCCTGTGGTATACATAAAAATTGCTTCTCCATGGGATGCCCTACAAGGGTGTACACAACCGTCCTCTATAGGCAATCATCAACATGTGTTTTCTTTGTGTGCATTTTGATGTGCTGTGTATGTCATAATTTTCATTGCTTGTAACAGCTCTATATTGTAACCCTTTTGCAAAACTGAGATGTGAACCAGAGTTTCCCAGGACTACTTTGCTGTGTCCAGTAATGCTTGGAAACCTGGCCTGTATCACTGCAACCTGTTTGTGGGAAGGGAGACCGGCTGACCCCAATGTTGGGGACTGGAATATTCCCTCTGAGGCTACCTTATCTCTTCAGGATTCTCCTGCAGGCACAGCTGGTGGTCCTTGCTTGGAATAAGGCTGTTGATACGATCGCTCCCAAGCCACAGAACCATGGCAGCTCCTTAGGGGCAGTGGAATGACCATGCCAGTTATTAGAGTGGAAACTCTATAGAGTGGCAGACTTGTGATGAATGCAGCTGGACATTTTGCAATCTTCTCTTGTGGTGGTGGCAGCAGCGGCAGCAGCAAAAAAGAAAGCTTACCCCAGCCACTGTTGCATCTGCCAAGTGTCACCAAGCAGAGCTGTTTCAAATGGTTACAGCAGCGCTCTTGGATGCAGGGTTCAGGAAACAACAGCTTCCACTTCCACTGGCTTGCTGTGGGCAAGGTTGCAGCTACGGTTGCTTGTATTTATGCCACCTTGGAACCCATTGTCATGACAGTTTGAGATAGACAGGGCTAGTGCTCCATCAAGTCATGCTACTGATACCTTTCAGCTTGTGCAGCTGAGGGATGTCTTGAAGGTCTGAGGCCTACTGCTTGCTCTTGTCCATGCTGCTTTGGGAAATCTGCCAGAGCTGAATGGATGCCTGAGCTGCTGGGGGTGGGGGTCAGTCCCTCCTTGAAAGACAGTGATGTGTCTGCAACTTGGAAAGAAGCAACGATGAGGCCTTAGTTGAACAACCCACATCTGGCTCTTAAGGTGTGCATGCGCTGGATAATCAACACTCTGTGGCAAGGGGCTGGAGCATGTGATCACCTCACAACCCCAAGCAGTGTTGTTTATATCCGTTCCAGTTAGGTTTCATACCTGATTATGGGACCGAACAACCCTGGTTGCCCCGATTTGGCTTATGCTGGGGAATGGATTGGAGGTGTTTCTTCTGGACTTATCCATGGCTTTTGAAACCATTGACCATGGTCACTTTCTGGGCCAGGCTTAGGAGGCATTTTGTTGAAGTAGTCTGGCCCTTCCCAGATGAGGGGCCTAAAAGGCAGCATGGCAAGACTTTTATTTCACTCTGTGGACATTATCCTGTAGGGTGCCACAAAGTTGTTGCTTTCTTAATTATTTTTATTCTGAAATTTCAACAAAGCAAAGCAAAAAAGAGAAATAAAAAGTATAGGTATGCACTTTTGAATATATCAGTTTCAATGATATATTGAAACTGTGTAAGTAGAACTATGAAATGAAATCTATTTGCCACCCATTCAAATGTTGAAAGCATAAAATCCTCTGGTTGTTGCATTATCCTTCTAGTGCAATATTGTGGATTTTTTTACTGTAAAAAGTGTCTGGAAAAATCTGTTTATGTTGACCATGCATTAATGGTCAGGAAACAGGTTAAGGGGCTGCACATTCAAAGTGTCCAAACCAGAACTGGATGGATCACTCCTCTTCTCTTCCTGCTTCCCCTGTTTAGCCTGGTCCCCTCTTCCTCCCCACCCAGCAGGCTGCCCAAAAAGGGACTGATCACTCTTTCCAGAGAACTGAACTAATCGCATGCAGAGGGCTTTTGACATTAGAATAAGGGCTGCATGAAATTCAGCTGAAGGCCCCCTGCAGCCCTCCTATCCAACCTGTTATAGATTATTACCTTTCAGAGCAAACATACATATTACCTGAAGATATGCAAATTCGAATGCTAGATAGGAGGTGGAAAGACATGTGCTTTGCCTGAACATGAATCCTTGGGTGGTGCTGGCAATCCAAAGTATTCATTATTTGAATGAGTCATTGCTAATTGCTGACTTGGGATCTTTCTTCCTCTTTTGCAGATGCCAAATCACAACCAAGTGTTCAGTTTCCAAAATATTTAATTAAACTGCCTGTAAACCACCATATCACAAACGTCACAGCCTATCTTACGGTGCCACAACAGTTTCTGAAAGTGGACCATTTCCTCTATACAGCAGGAATCCTTTTAAACAAGTCAGGTATGTTGGATTTAGCCATGAACTCTTGCAGGCATCTAATTCTCACTTCACATACCTCTGAGTGTGCTGTGCGGGGAATGCATCTTCCTTCGTGTGGGGATATAAAGAAGGTCATCCTAAAGCAGGCATGTGAATACTAAAGTCCAAGAAATACAGCAAAGTGTCAGTCATGGGTCTGGCATACTGGAAAACAGACTGGAGCATCATATACCCCAGTTACATACCCAAGTGTTAATAAAAGTGAAAATGAGTTTGAATGTTGCAGTAATTTTTTAAAAATCAAATCTCCAGCATAGACAGAAATACAACCTACCATGCCTAGAACAGTGCATGAGTAGAAGGAAAATGAGCTGTGCAGCGTTAAAGCCCATGAGGTTGCTTTAATAGTACTTTATTCTTAGGTGAAAATTTTCCTATTTCATAAGATCATTAGTATTTGAATCATGTTTTATTTTATTTTTCTTATTCATGTAAGCCGTCCTGAGGCTATGCGATGGGACGGCATACAAATACTCAAATACTCGAATGAATGAATGAATGAATGAATGAATGAATGAATGAATGAATGAATGAATGTGCAGCCCATGGGATGGATGCAGGCCTCCCAAATCCGGTCGGACAGTGCACCTGCACTATAAAATGCTTTCCTCAGCGAACCTGAGACATTTGGTTTTTTGTCTTGCTGGCTGTGCACTGCTCCTTGTCAGCTTCCAGGTCAGACCTGGGAGAGGACTGGTGGAGAAGAGTAATGATTCAGAAGACACAGGATGCCATTCTCCCAGCGACTGTGTCTCACAAGGAGGTAGTGCTGTTGGGGAAAGGCTGAAGGTTGATACCGGGGGCAGGCATTTCTTCCTGCCCTTCCCCTCTCCCCTACTTGTGAAACCTTGCCAATATTTTTCCCAAATTGGAAGAGTAGTTTTTGGGATGTCTTTGGCTTCTAGGGTTTTTTTAGTTTTCAGGTATGTTATTGAAATTTTGCTCCCTTAATGCAATGTATAAGCTGTACTTTCTGATATCGTTTGAATTTTGTATTCCTTGTAGCCTTTGTAAGCCACCTTGGAGGTCTCTTTTGCCCAAAGGTGGCAAAAGGGTGGGGGGGTTGCATATACCCATGAGAGTCATTTTGGCTAACAGGCAGGCTAGAAAATTCATAGCTAAATACAATAAATAAACGAGGGTCACTCCGGGAGAGGCCTTCACATGATGCCCCCCTGCATGTGCTGGAACTTTTCTCCCAGGCTCAGTGGCAGGAATATTCGGGCAAATTTTAACAAAGGGAAGCATTCAGACATGCAGGTTGCACAGCTGGCCTAGTGCAACCTGTAGGGACTGCACCAGTAGCCTGCTCCATGTTTGGATCTGTGCTGCATTTCTTTTTCCTAGGGCTTATCTGTGCTACACGCTCACCAGTTTTATGGCAGTTTGGCAACGGATCCTGAGAAGAGCAGCTTGTTGAAGGCGCCCAGAATCCTGTGTCAGTTTGCAGTACAGAGCAGGTTTCCTTGGGAAGCCTGTTAAGTTGGTCACCTGACGGTCCCGGAAACTGACTGTCCTCAAATTGCTGCAGGATGCAGTTCCTTTTGTCAGGTGACCCCCACTGAGCAAGGACTCCATCATTTTAGAAATCCCAAATCGACATGAGAAAGAGGAGTCATCACCATATTGATTGGTCTGAACCAACAGTTAATGGCCTTACACTAGGACATGGGGATGCTTATATCCTCTGATATTGCTGGAGCAGCATTTTAACCTTCCACTGAGTTAGACCGTAGCTCCCTGCAGCCCAGTAGTGTTGACACTGACTGGCAGCAGTTCCCCACTGTTTCAGGCAGGGCTCTTTCCTGGCCCTCACTGAAGAGGCCAGGGGCCGAAGCTGAGCCCTTCTGCATCCAAAACATGCAGCCCTACCATCGAGTTGCGGTGAGCCGGAGCAGGGGGCTACATCAGTGCTGTACCTCCACTGCTTTCATCCCGTTCTGTGCTCTGCCTGGGAGAAAAAGCTGCTTCCTTTCAGCGTCTCCACTGAAACTCTTCTAATAGATTAAAAAGCACGGCTGGAGGGATTTTTCATGGGGACTGTGTTCTGATTGCATTTCTGCAGGTTGCTGCTGGCTGAGATGGTTATCCTCTGCCTTTTGCAAGGGAATATGGAGAAGAGGGAATGGTTTGTGTGCCCCCCCGCGGCCCCCTACACCTTCTGTTGCCTTAGGCAATAATTATGGAATTTCCAAATTCGCCTTCTATGATGGCTACACTGAAGTTGGACATCATCTTACAAATTCAAGCACTTGACTAATGCACAGAAAGAAAGATAAATCATGTCAACACCGAGTAACCTAGTCTAAATCAGCTTTGTTCCTTCTACACTGGAACACTCTCATAAAAGTTTTAGTGCATGCTCCCTCGCCGTAAATCAGTCAGTGTGCACAGTATCCATAGAATTATGATTGCATTAATGAGCTGCGCTCACGTGTTTGCCGAGCGAGCTTTATCGTCGGGTATTAGAGTGGTGTAGTTTCATCTCTATAAAGGCAGCTGCCCAGTTTTCCCCCCTCTCCCATGTGCAGGCATGCTGAGATGGAAGGATTAATAATGGATGCATACACCTTTTGCATTTGAAGAATCCGCAAACAAAGCAACTTCCTATTTTTCCCCTTGATTTTCTTGAAATCTTCCTGATGTTCTCCTTTACATTATTGATGTGTTTCTGAGCAAACGGATTCTGTCCTTGGGGGCAGGAGAAAGTTAATTGATACATGATATTTGACAGTTTTCCTGCAAGCCCATCTGCAAATCTTCAGAAGCTTTTGGATACTTAATAATTCTGTTTTTTAGCCTTTGTTTAACAACCTGGCTCTACAAGCTGTGCAAGAATGAGTCATTTTCCATAGGTCTTGCAAGCTTCTAGAAGAAGAAGGGGACACATATTATCATGTGCAAAAGTGCATCGTGTATTTTAGAGTTAAATAAAGCTGCCTGGTGTATAAGATTAAGCTAATGAATAGCACAGTGCCGTTAGTTAGCATGCTTTTAAAGTTTAAATATCCTGATCCAACAGAGGAAAAGGCATGCTAGCTAAATGCTGCCATTCTGTTACTTGGTGCGATCCTAATTCTGTTTCCCCGTTCCCCATTTGAACACTGAATGGTTGAAAGTGGACTAATACATGTTTTCTCAGAAGTAAGTCTCATTCAGTTCAATGGGATTTACTTCTGGGCAAGAGTGTATAGGAAGGTGGCATTATATAGTTAGCTTAGACAAGATGGGCAGGCAGCACTTAGCCTCTTGCAGATGGTGGCATGTTCTTTCTGTGCTTTTCCTGTCGCGCTGATTCGTCCATCCCACTGTCAGTTAGAAGAGGCATGACTGAGAGCCATGCTGGAGCAAGAGACCTCTTCTTTTCCACGCATGCAGATTTGCAAAGCCTTTTAAGGCTGCAGTTCAATGCACGTGTACCCAAGAGTATGTCCAGTGGAACTCAGTGACCTGGTTTGTACTATCTGTTGGGATGAGGAGAGGTTTAGAAATGCCGCCGTGAATTAAATTAACCAGCACAGCCGCTTGTGGTTAAGCAGTGCAAGTTGTTTAGCACTAAGTGAGAATGCTGACTCCAAGCAGGCAGTCACTCCAGCTGCGGCAAACCACCCAGGGAAATTTTGGGGTCCAAGGCTAAATTTTTCCTCCCCTGGCAAGCCAGAATTCCAGGTTCACATGCTGCACTGAACAGCCTGGGGGACAAAGCATCCCTGGGTTTGGGCTCAGGAGCCAGCACACCCGTTCACACATGCTCAGTTTATTCAAACCATGGGTTGTTGTGTTGTCTGAACTCAGTGGGGCTTGCTGCTGAGTAGATTTGTGCAGCACTATGAAGCGTGTCAGTCTCTGGTATTCCAGAGTATCCCAAATGGTGGATTTATGTCTCTCGTTCACTGTGTTAAGGACTTAGCCTACCAGGTGTGCTCAGAAACAAAAACACCGGGACAGGTACCATGATCATTTTTGTAGAGGGATTAGGAGAATTTTGACCAGTAAAATATTTCCTTTTGACAAAGACCCGTGTCTGAAACCCTGGAGGCCGCAGTGAGCTGGACGGATTGAGGGTCTAAGTTGGCACAACATAGCTATATCCACCCTTAATATTGCTGTAACAGCCTTTCCCCCTTGGACACCCTCTAAATGTGGTGGAACACAATTCCCATCATCCCCACTAGCAAGAGTGTGTGTGTGTGTGTGTGTGTGTGTGTGTGTGTGTGTGTGGATTGTGGGAGACACAGTCCAACGCATCTGGAGGGCACCACATTGGGAAAAGCTGTGCTCTGCTCTTTGGTTATTAACAAGCTGAACTACAAGGGAGCTTGTCTGGGTGCTTCTTATGCCCTCTCGTGGTCCACTGCAGTACTGCTTCCACAGCTAATGGCTGTTGAAATAATTTGTGCAGAGACATTTTTGGGATTTCTTTTCCAATTACTGTTACAGTGGAAGCTCGAGTCCCAGGCTATAAAGGTAAATGGATAATTGGGAAATGCTAACAGAGAAGCATGTTTGCTTCAGTGGAATATTCTGTCTTCAGGGAGGAATGCTTATTTGTGCCTTCAGAGATTTTAAAATCCTGGAGATGTTAGATCGAGTGCTGGAAAGGACAACATTGTTCTGTTCACTGAAAAGATGTTTTTTTACTGAATGAATGGCATTACAGTGTTTTTCTGTGGAGGAGACCAAGGTTGCCTTTTGCTATTTTTTTAAAGAAGCCAATGCATCGATGTATAAAAATAACTATTCCCCATTTTACTTGAACAAAAAGCAGGCACCTAAGCTATAAGTACACAGGAATCCGCTTTTATTCCTCTTCTGGGTAAAGGAACTGAATTTTCCTGGATTCAGCTTCAAAGCCTTTAAAACTAGTCTGACCAGAACTCACAGGGGAATGGAAAAAATCTATGCTTGAATTGCAGGGAGCAATGGTGCAGGAAAGTTGCTCTGAAAATGTTATGTCTGCAGTTTTACTGTCTTTTAAAAAAATACGTTTGTGTGTGTGCAGGCTTCAAAACTATTGAATTAAACCCTCTTGCTGCAATATGCGTAAACTTACTCTCGGCTGGGAAAGAATTGCAAGTGGAGGGCCCCATCCAGGTGACGCTGCCGCTTCTGCCCGCAAGTGCCGTCACAGCAGGTGATCCCATCCTGGCGTGGACCTTCGACATGAAAACCGGTGAGTGTGCGCCGTTCTGCCTTCCCACAGACAATGAGGCACCGCCAGCAGCAGCGTTTCCACGCAGTACTAGTGCAGAGACAAAGAGTGCGGATTCAGCCCCAACCCTGGGAATGCTTACTCAGAAGAAGCATCACTGAAGGCAACTCCAGAGCAAGAGAGGTCCCTCTGGCACACACTGCTAGGCATGTGCATTTGTTTATTATATTTACTCCCCACCTTTTTTGCCTTTCAAGGAACTCAGGCGGCCTACCTCATTCTTCCCCTTTTAAGCTTCTCCTCACAACACCCTTGTGAGGTGGGCCGGGCTGAGAGGCTGTGACTGGCTCAAGATCACCCAGTGAGCTCCTTGGCTGAGTAGGGACTCGAGCCCGGATCTGCCCCCATTGTTTTCTCAGAAGTAAGGCAAATGAGGTCAGTGGGGTTTCCTCTCAGATGTGAGGTCCCTTGCCACTGCAGACCAGTGGAGCTGTGATCCTGTATGCATGCAGAGGACCGCAACCTCACCGGCTTGTTCTGGGGTTAACATCCCTACACCAGAGCCCGCCTCTTGACCGACGGTGAGCCCCAAATGCAGATGACGCGATTCATAGTTCCAAGAGCTTCCCCAGGGATTTATTTAGCTGCTCATGCTCACCTGGAAGCCCATCCCACTGCAGTTAGTGGGGCCGCAGCACCAGCGCACAGCATGCTTCAGGTCGGGGCTTCCTGTGGCGCTTAACCCTAAACGCAAACAGATTCTTGTGCCAAGTGAATGCGAGTGGACACAGTTCATGCTGTGCGCAGTCTGTGAAAGGAAACACGCTTCATTCCCATGGGATCTCTGAAGGGCTCCTCAAGCTCGCTGCAGATGCGGAAACAGCTGTCCTGTGTTGATGGCCCTCAGCTTGGCTGGCTTTGGGAAGAGATCAGAAATGCCTGCCCGGTGCAGTCATCCAAGGAACCTGCGTAGCCATGAGGCAGGTCACGTGTCCTACACTGAGCAAAAAGGTCCGGAGGAAGAGTCTAGCAGAACCCTTCCTGCAGCCTGGAAATGTGCTGATGGCAGGGCTCCAGTGAGTGGGGAGGACTGAGCCCACTCGGCCAGTCACTGCAGAGTCGCCCTCGCCGAGTGCCTCGCTCGATGCGGGAAGGTTGACGAGGCTGGCGCACGCAGGGCTGCCGTGTGAGCTTGGAGCCTGCCGTGCTCCAGAGCAGCGGTGTACCGCGTTTCATTTTCCCATGGCCTGACTAGGGCTGTGAGTGGCCCACGGTCCTGCGCATGGAATCTGAATGGAACCTTTTTGTTCTGAGGCATAAACCTCAAAATTGCCAGGTGCTGGGAATGGGCGTCAGGGAGGACACATCCTGCTGCCCACTGTTAGAAGCAATGCTGGATGAGATGGGACCTCAGCCCCATCCAGTCAGGAACTCTACAGGGGTAGCATAGGGTCCTGTAGAGTTTTGCAATGGACTGCTGGTGGAATGGATTACGTGACCTTCACTCTCCTAAAACAAAGTGTGTAACCTACTCCCTCCCTCCCTCCCTCCCTCCCTCCCTCCTTCCTTCCTTCCTCAGGTGCCTGGGTAAATCGTGGATTGGGCATGGTAAAGGATGCAGGTGATCATCTGGTATGGATGTACACTGCTCCAAGCCTAGGCTACTGGATAGCCGCCCCGCTGCCTGGCACGAGAGGTAAACCATGGGCACCTGAAATTATGTAGTTGCTGTGGTTTTCAGGGCAATCATTATATGTGAGTTGGAGTCCAAATAGGGGATTACTTGGGAAAATGGATAGGGATATGTTTTTGGGCTCCTGCTTATTGTGGGGGTGGGGCATAAGGACCCTTAACAGCTTGGATCCTGGTTATCTAAAGGAGCGCTTGCGTCCATATATGCCCTCCTGCCCCGAGATTGGCAGCAGAGGCCCTTCTCCGGGAGCCCTCCGTGAAAGGCATTAGGAGGCAAAGTACCCGGAGGAGGGCCTTCTCTGCGGTGGCAACCCATTTATGGAATGCGCTCCCCAAAGAGGTCCGCCTGGCGCTGTCGTTACTTGTTTTTCGGTGCCAGGCCAAGACCTTTTTATTTAAACAATATGTTAACTGTTAATCGTCTCTATTTATTGGTTTTTATAGTCCTGCCGAGATGTATTCAGATTTTTAAGGTCTACTGTACATTTGTTTATTTGCTTTGTAAGCTGCCCCGAGGCTTTTTGTGAAGGGGGTGGCATAAAAATGCTCTAAATAAATTAATAAATAATGAATAAATAAATGTGATAGCTTTGTTGCTCTGTAAAGGCATGGAAATATTGATGTTATCCAGTAGCCTGATAAAATAGGGTCTTAGGACATTTCAGGTGTGTGATAACTTTGGTGAGTGCATGGAGTTAATGCAGAGTCAACACCTTTGCACCAGAATAGTTCCTGAGGAAACTGCAAGGAGATTTTTGCTTGTGGAAGGGAAAATAGCCTTGCAGTGTGTATTATACATTTCCACAACTTTTCTTTATTCACACGTCAAGTACTTCCCGTGGTGACATACCACCGTACCTTTAGGATAGGTGCTGCCTATAATGGGATGGGTTGTTGTCACGTGCCATAACATCATTTCTGACTTGGGCGACCCTATGTGTGTAAGACCTCCAGGAGGTCCTCTCCCTGGCAGCCCTGCTCAGCTCTGGTACATTCGACACTTTGGCTTTTTTTATGGAGTTGTAATAGGAGACTGGCAGAAAACCTGCCCCAGGGAAGGAGTTTCCCTATAGATGTGTCTGTTGTTCTCTTCCATATTTTGTATCCAGGCCTCCTGGAGAGGCCTTGGTTGAGGCAAACTCCTACCAGTCTTGTACCAGAAACCTATAATAGGCTTGTATCAGGAACAGGACTGGTGAGCGCATAGCATACTATTCACAGGGTAGGCAACCTTGTGTCCTCCAGTTGTTTGGGACCAAAACTGCCACAGACTCTGACAAATGGCCTTTGTGGTGAAAACACCTGGAGGGGACCTGCTAGGTTGCCTGCAGAGCAAATGGTCTGCCGAAGGCCCCCAGCACACTGACCTAGGCAACCCTGTTAGACGTTCATAGTCTAGGAGCTTGAACAAGAGCACCAGGACTGCATTTCTGCGATAGAGAGCACCCATGAAACCTCAGACAGCACTTCCACACATGTGAGCCATCCCTATTCTGTTGAGTTGGAACGGGGCTGTTTGCTTGAAATATCTTGCGTCGAAATGTCGAGGAGGAGCTGAGTGAGTGAGAGCTGGGAAGGCATGACGCATGATGGTCCAAGGAATCACTCTCTCCCTCTTCATCTTCCTTTCCATGGTTAAAATGTAGACTCCATCATTACAACAGTGACCAAGGATATAACGGCGTATCACACAGTGTTCCTCACGGCCATCCTGGGAGGCACCATCATCATCATCCTTGGCTTCACCGCAGTTCTTCTTTGCTACTGCAGGTATGTGGGGTGACACAACTGGCGGATATAGTTGCTCCCTGCACCTTGGGTCCTTGGGGCAGCATCCAGTGCCTTTAAACAAGTGGAATGAGCTGAAGCACTTGCGTCCAAGGGGGCAGAGCTTGTGGAAGGGAGCTGCACTGACCCATCCTGGTCGGGATTGGTGGTGTTCCCACGACTGCTTTAGGCAGGGCTGGCTCCTGGCTGTGCTGGCCGCGAGTCCTGTTAGCCCCTGTAGTGGCAGGGCAGGATACTGCCCTCGGATTTGCCCTTCAGCTTTTCTTGGTTTGTTTTTCTCTTAGTTTTGAAGGATAGTTAAATTACACATGTTGGAAAGTGGTTATTAGTTCTAGGACTATGTAGTGCCCTTGCTTTATATTTTGTTTTCCAAGCCACCTGATGTACTAAATAATTAAAAATGTGCAAATATACACATTTCATGTGTATGAGATTTCATTTTGTGAAATCCAGGACAAAGAGGGTGCTTTATATAGCCAGGCTGTAATTCTGAGCACAGAATTATTACACAAGCAGCACAGATTTTAGCTGTAGCCAGGATTTCTGCTGGTGTACATGATGCAGCTTCAACTCTGGACTGGTTCCCCCCCCCCCCGCCTGCTTCTTTATTAGGGATAAATGTGGTCAGTCAAAAAAGAGAAGGAAAAGCACAACCAAACTGGACATCTTAAAAAAGGACCAGACGACATCCACCTCACACATAAATCACCTGGGCATTGCCAAGGTGTCACTGAAGCCGGAGGACAAGGCTCCATTCTATTCTGCCAGGATAGCCTCTTACAGTCCTCAGAGAGGAGCTTCTGCGGAGGGTGAAGAGAGGAAGTGCCGTGACAGTTTCAATATGTACGCAGAAGGAGCTTCATACCAGTCCTCTGGCCAAGATGCTCACTGCAAAAACTCCCCAGAGCCTTTGGACCCCAACACGGGAGTGAGGCATCTGCAGCCAAGCAACCATATCAATGGAAGGATTTCCCCGTCCAGAGATGCGCAAGAGCAGAACCAATATGTCCCTCTGAATGGGGAACTCTATGGGCTCTCTCCTCTCCCGGAACAGTTAATGCATCTTTACAGTCAGCCGATTGCCATCCTTCAAACATCTGACCTTTTCCACTCCCCGGAGCAGTTGCATGCTGCCAAGTCGGCAACTTTGCCAAGGAAAGGACAGTTGGTGTACAGCCCAATGATGGAGCCCTTGAGTCGGGAAAGTTACACGCAGACATTACCCAAAATGCCGGCGCACTCTCACCTGCAGGCGCCAGTGTCCAGAGAGGAAGCGGCTGCATTGGACAGGCAACAGGGCCTGTCGCCTCAAGCTGCCAACTGGGCGCGCTACACCAATAGCTTGCTCGAGTCCGTTTCTGTTCCAGGAACGCTCAACGAAGCTGTCGTGATGACACGCTTTTCATCAGAGCTTCAGGGCATTTCCGAGCAAACCCTCCTAGAGCTCTCGAAAGGCAAACAGTCCCCGCATCCGAGGGCATGGTTTGTGTCCTTGGATGGCAAGCCAGTAGCGCAAGTGAGGCACTCATTCATTGATCTCAAGAAGGGGGGCAGGAAGACTGAGAGTAATGATACCAGCTTGGATTCTGGGGTGGACATGAACGAGCATAATCCCGGCCGGAAGCTGGAGCGGGAGAAAACCTTCATTAAGAGCATGCAGCATTCTAAGGTCCTTTACCTGGAAGACTTGGATCTGAGTAGCAGTGAGGGCGGAACCACGGTCTGTACCCCTGAGGATCAGGCTGTGAAACATATGCCCAACGGAGGGAGTGATCCGGTCATAGGACAGCACAACGAAGAAGTGCCTAGGAGGAGAACCACGACGGAAGAGCAGGAGGCCAGTCCTCCTCCAACTAAGAAACGAGGGAGGCCCCCTTTAACTAAGAGGGAGAGCAAAGCCAACATTTGGAAGAAGCGAGAGGAGAGGCCACTCATCCCGATCAACTGAAATCGCAGTGAGACCTGCCTTTTGGCCTGTAGGGTGCCCCTTTGCTCTCTGCTTCTCGTACGTACACTTTGCCTGAATCAGGTAAAGTTGCATTTTTTAAAGCAGAGGCAGTGCACACGTGCGATGGGGCACTTCTTTGCTCTTCCTGCTTTGAGCCACACATGCAGGTGCTGGAGTTTTAATGTACAAAACTCTTCTGGGATATATTTGTAGGGGGTGCAGAGGCATCCTCTTGAAAAAAGCCAAAATGCAGCCTTGTTGGTCCGATAGCGCAAGTGATGGACACTTGTCAAGGAGGAAGCATTCTTCATGCTGGGTTACATTGCCATGTTGTTTCCTGATGATGTCATGCTGGAAGGAAGGAAGAAGGAAGCTGGCATTTATCATCTGAAATGCACAGTATTCTCAATCTTCTCAATATTTTTGTGTAACACTGCATCACATTGTTCTCTGTACATACTTTGTGAAGGGGAGGGGGAATCGTTATCCATATGGTATTTCAAGCGTGTGCACACCTGCTTTTCCTGTGCTCTTTCGAGATGTATTGAGCCAAATTGTGCTCCCTTTCTGGTAACTAGATTTGTACTCACATATTTCGGGCGGCGTTCATTCCTCAGTGTCCAAGCTACATATTATTGTAAACATGGCCAAAAGGATAGTGTAGAAGACATTTTCTTAAAAAAATGCCCTGTACCACCTTGTAGCCTTAAGTAAAGGAAAAACTGAGCGGTACATAAACCATTTGCTTTTGTGCCTCCTATTTTGCTAGCTTCAACTCTAGTCTTAAAGGTCCTTATGAAAAGCTCCATTTGGAATCTTTGGACTCGGCTGTGATCTTTAGCGTAGTTCTCTCTGCAGGGATACCTGTCACAGTGGACCCCTTGTGGAGCCAATTTGGAAGTCTGCCGACTCCCTAAATTGGCTGCAAACCTTTAAAACGGCAGAGCAGTGGAAAAGGGCTGCAGGTCAGGGGCACAGGCACTAGATTTGCCCGCCGAGGGCTCCAGCGTGTCCAAACGAGTAGTGCCTGGGAGCTCACCTGAAGTCACGAGGAGCTGCACGTTGCCCTTGTGCAGAGCTAGGCCACTTCCCCCCTCCCAGGTTTGCAGTGCAAATGGTTTTGTACTTGCTTACGTATCAGCAGTTTGAATGCAAATAGGTACATCACTTAATCTACCATGTTTTAGATGGATTCAAAAAAAACATAGAAGTGTTACCTCTCAACATTTTTAAGTCAACTTTTTAATCAGTTGAAAAACTTTTCTGGGGACCCAGAGGTACAGGGGCATGTCCTCATGATCTCACAGGAATGTGCAATTCAGCGTTGCTCAGGACCAGCTTCTGCAGCAAATCGGATGAAACTGGAAGGACTAATTTTTGGTGTGCTTAACCCCTGAGAAGAAAAGTGTGCGTTTAATGCTTCCCCCAGCTGGCTCACCCTTCACATTATATTTTGTCTGTACTCATCGTAAGTGTGCCCCAAACTTACTTGTGCACTAAGAACATGTTCAGGGACTACCTACTGGCGCTTTTGAATAGGAAGATGGTAAATATGGATTTGGCCTATAGGACAACAGCCATCCTTGGGGTAGAATTCATTGCAGAAGGGAAAACAATTACCAAAAGATATGATTGCATGAAATGTAATTAAGAAGATACATAGAAGAAAAACTCATAAAGGTAGATTTGTTTTTAAATGGTCATTTTGTCAGTGGTAGATTGAGCTTTGGCTAACAGAAAAGTAGCTACACATATGTGACGCATTTTACCCTTGCCATACCATCTTACCTGGCAGCATATTTCATAGCATTTTATCTTGACTCTCACTTAGTTTAATGATGTCAGTTTTCTTTTTCAGAACAGTTATCTAGTCAAAGTAAAACTAAAATCATACTCTGTGACAGCCTGATGCCCTCAAGATGTTTTAGACTTCAGCTCCCATCACTCCCAGCTACTCTGGCCAATAGTTTGGCATACTAGGGGTTGTATCCTCCAAAACATCATCTCCAGCTGCCAGGCTGGAGAAGAATGGGAAGTTTGTTTTACAGTCCATTATCACCAGTCAGCTCATCATGATCTGCTGTCATCTGCTACATCATCTTACATGTTAAAATTGACCCACACCGAACGGGACACTGGGACACAGTAAGAATTATATGGGTAAAAATAGGAAAAAAAACATTTTGAAACTGACTGGTCCACTTAATCTTACATCTACCATTAATTTTTAAAGTTTAAATTACCTGAAAAAGAAATGTGTGTTTTCTGTTAGCCAAAAAGGATAGTTATGAAACATTGCTTTTGTTTTCTTTTGGGGGAGAACTGTATTTGTTTCATTGTTGGAACATTGCATGTAGGTAGTATTTAAAAGTCCATTTATCTTAAAACAACAACATCCCCAAACAGCACTTTTTACTTCCACTTGCCAGAAGGAAGATGGAATGATACATTTGAACAGTTTATCCTTTATTAAAGCATTGTGGCCTGGATCCAAAGAAATGTACAGCTAAACTCCATGTACTCAACAGAATTTTCCACTTCTATTTACTAAACAGCAGCTTCAATTTTGAGATGGTTCGTTGAAAGTAGTGTGTGATAAGGAATGGCAGATCTTCATTCCAGGTACAGCAAATTAGTCTGCTCACTTCAAGTTCTTGGGCATTCCAAAAAGTAGCTGTTTCGATCCCTGCTTATTTGCAGTCCATAAAGAATAAATTGGAGTAAGAGGCTATGCACATGCAGAGAACTGTGTCTGTACTTGGGCTCCCCTTATTGGACCAGGACAATGCATACATGAAAATCTGGAGCAGGATGTTTAATGGAAATATGCATGTACTTATGGAATGTAACTTAGTTGAGATAGGGATTCTCTTTTGGGACTGACTGATGGCAAAACGGCACCGTTAATTGGCTGCATCGAGATAGGAAGCTCCTAACTTTATTCCATTCTTGGGTTTGATCCTGCAGTGATAACATACCCAAAACTTTCCTTTTTCATTCCACAGAGATAGTTTATAGATTTAGGTATATTGCAGTATTGTACACACAAGGGAGTAAGTCCAGTTGGACCCACTGGGCTGGATGCAGCAACAGCTTGTCATGGATGGAAGGTTTTGATTCAAGGAAGGCTCTTCCACTGATTGAACGGGGAGGGGAGACTGTCTGCCAACCCCTCCACACACTCATTTGCTTCCTGAAGATCTGCTGGAAGAGATGGCAGAACGGGGAGGGGAAGGCAGCCAGCCAGTACTACCTTTCCAAGTCCCACCATGTCAATGGGGAGTGTTCTGATAGGAACTCTGCTTGTGGATGCTCCCCTCCACCCCAAAATACATCTATGCATCCAACATGGTGCAACTTCTGAATGAAAATGTATAGGGTTGCATTATTAGAATTAGACTGCAAAGTTTTTCCTGGACTGTACCACTTCAGGCTCAGGCAGGGGTAATCACACATTTGTATGTTTTCCCAAACAAATGAAAAGGTTAGGCTGAGCATTATCTCTTTGGCATGCTTTTTAAAATATGCATAGATTTTTGGGGAGGGTAGCAGTGACTTTATCATTCAAAAATATCCCCAGGTACAGCCTTGTACAACAATCCAGAAAAAACTTTGCTGTTGAATTTCTGATTATATAAACTAGATATTGACCATGGCTTTGGGATATGCACAAAAAATTAAGACCAGGGCAACTTCAACCTTAAGCACATGTTCTTGTTGGGGGACGTAAATGGAATTTATATGCATATAATGTTAGAATTGCAGCCTCAGAAAATAGGAATGCTTTCCCTCACAAATTGTTTGACATTCCAATCTGTTGGATACAGTTATACTAAACACTCAATATTTGGAATACTAAAATATTTTTAAGTGGTGAATATATTCTGTAAACTTCAATCTTTTTAAGAACCTTAAAGGTATTATTAGTATTGAACAACTGAAGCCATTCCATCCTTTATAGCTGATCATTTCATAATCAGTACTTCTGAAGTGAATCTGACAGTTCTTAGCAAAATTTTCTATTGATTAGTTTTACCAACTGAAATTTAACAACAATTTTGTCAAAAATTTGTACATTTTCCACTTGGTGATACGATTCTTCAACTGAACTTTAAAGCACAACAGTTTATTGTACTTCAGCAAATGCAGAATCTTTATATATATAAAATGTATTTTTACATGTTAGCAATTCAGCTAGGAAGCGTTTCTATTTTGTCAGTGCTAGCAGTACAGTCCTACTCATGCCTGCTCAGAAGGAAGGCCTGTTTACTTCAATTGGACTTACCTGAGAGTGTGTATAGGACTGCAGCTTAACAGCACAAATTGCATGGAAAACCCAGTTGTGTGATCTGTAGTTGTTGGAAACTCAGATGAGAACTAAATTTAACGGCAGCTGTGTTGCTGGCACTGAAAGCAGCAGTCCTTGACATGTTACTAGGGGCAAGAACTGACTAATACAGAGCAGTTGCATTTAGTGTCAAGATGTGTACCCCCATAAAGGCTAGTTAAAACCCAAGTGTTCCAAAACCAATAGTGGTCACCACTGATTAAAGATGTAAATATGGAGAATGAGTACACTTGCCACAGCACTGATTCTTTGACACACACTTTGGAACTCCATTTAATTTTAATTCCAATTTTATGACATTCTGTAGTTCACCCTTTAAAAAGTGTTTCTACATTTTTCTATTCATCTGTTCAGGGTGGCTTATAATGTTTGTGTAGCTACTGCAGTACTAATGGATCTATTGCTATAGTGTATTTGAAAATTTATAAGACAGAGTTCATTAAATATAATAAAATAATTTTTAAAACCGACTGATGCCTTTTGTGATCTTTGATCCCTTTTTGCTGGATCTCTAAACTGCAATGTATAATTATAATAAAAATGGCAAGTGCTTGAAAACTTGTGGTGGTAGGAAGTATTTCACTTTTGAAACTAGACAGGTTGACAACCATTTCTCTGAACTGCTTTTTTGGACTGGGAGTTTTCCTAGCAAGTGCTATCAGAGATGGATGCCAATTCCTCATGTGCATTGCCAAGCTCATACTAACTTTTCTTCACACAGTTGTGTACCTGTGCACGATTCAATAGAGGAGTGCAAACAGTACTCTAATAAAACATTGGCAAATCCCATTCTCCATTTCAAAGGAAAACTGCTTATATAAGGTGTTTGCGGCAGAGAAAGTAGGCAAGAGGAATTTCCCCTTACAGGATTGAACTACTTTTGTTTCAATAATGTGCAAAAGAATTCAATTGTCCAGTGCCTGTGAAAGAAAAGGTATGGTGTCTATAACCTAGTATGAAAAACGAGTCTAACAAGACATGACATTCATTCTGTCTGTCTATACCTGTTCTTTAGAATGGAATGTGTTTATGAAAGACAAAAGCAAAGAAAGAATGGCAACTAGATGTGACAGCAAATACCCATAAAGGGCTTTCCCATGTAAGTCTTTCAAGTAGTCCCCCATCCCAGGTAAACACCCTTCACATCACTTGGCTCATTAACCTGAGATTTCCTGTATTAGCAACTGACGATTTGCCTGCAAATTTAATCCAGTTTTGTCAAGCAGTACCAAAAATCATTTGAGTTAGTCTCTCTCTCTCTCTTTCTTTCTCACACACAGAGTTCATCAACCAAACAACTCTCTGAAATGGTTCACAATTATAGTTGATGGAAGATTTGGACTTGGCTGCCAAATCAAATCATGCACCCTCCAATTTCGGTTGAGCTAAAAGACTGTTTTCAGAATTGCCAGATCAGGGCAACCACTGATTCATGTGGTTGATGGACACATATATGAAAGTTGCTGGCTCGGTCCCTAGGTACTACATCCATTTTCAGCTACATGAGTGCACTGGACAATCCAACAGCATAACCAGGCTTCTAAGAAAGGGCAGCACCCACTAGATGAATAGGCCTAGGACTCTATTAGGCAGTTAATCAAACATGCAATGAAAATGTCTATTTATTTGTGAGCTGCCCCAAGGCTTCGGCGAATGGGGTGGCAGAGAAATTTAGAAGAAAAAAAAATGTGTACCCAGTAACACAATTACCTGCTGCAGTGGAAATAGTTTAGGAAAATCATGATAAAGCTAGCACAAGGATAAGCCTACTAGAATGTTGCTTCTACACTTTCAAAATTAAGCTATCAACACAATAACTCCGAATCCAACAGTAGGATTTTGCTTTGGATTCATTCACATCACCATACTGGCAATGCTAAGAGCATACTGCTGGTTCTTAAGTGGGCCTGCTAATACTGACGCACTCATTGTAGACAAGCTTTCCTGCAGGAGCCAGCTAAATAACAATAGCAGTCAGATGTATTATCCTACCTAAAGAGCTCTCCATATATTGAATATACTTCAATTCACTTATGGAATGTGCTCCCCAGAGAGGTCCGCCTGGCGCTGTCATTTGTTTTTCGGCGCCAGGCCAAGTCCTTTTTATTTAAACAATATTTTAATAATGGTTAATATTTATTGTTTTTTTAAATTTTTAGTCAGGGTGAATCCAGATTTTATATGTATCTATTTATATGATTATTATGTTGGAAGCTGTCCCGAGGCTTATGCGAATGGGACGGCATACAAAAATTCCAAATAAATAAATATGCTGTATGTTTAGTTGTTCATTGTGTTTGAAACATTTGTTTCTCTGAACTCTATATCAAAACTGATCAGTCTACAGCTATTGTTCATGGCTATTAAAGCAATGTCAGAACGCAGGTTTCCTATTGGTATGAACATGTGATCCCTCTGCTGGGTTATATTAAGATTATCAACCATAAGTAATTAAAGACATGCCTTTTCTACAACGCCATGCTATATATAACAAAGGGGGTTCATGTTTTTAAGAATTCATGTTCCATCCAGGGATTTAGCGGTATAAATTTAGTGATGCAAATGAGGTTCGGTATAAAGTTGTTTTATACAAACTCTGCCCCATAACAACAGAATTGCAACAAAGCAGCTACAATTGTAATGATCTCATAACTTGTTAAGCATAACTTCCATTCTCAGAAATGTTGTCTGGCAGCTCATCTAACTTGCACCTTTCCTACAAGTTTGCACAGGAAACTCTCCTGCTGCAATTTAAGGTAAGGGAATCAAAACCATACAGCTCTTCATCAATAACTTTCTATTTCCTTGAAACATTGTAGTTTCTATCCATAGTAAGATTTCTTACTTCATGTATTCAAAATGTTGCATGCTTTTGATTAGTACAAGAAAATGCTGTTCAACTGTTTTAATTTATGCATGTAGGTATATTTTTAATTCACCCAATAACATAAGTTCTTTAGGAGGAATTACAAAAAGCTAAAATAATGGCACCAGTTCAACACATTGAAAAGTTGATTAGCTGGGGAAGAGAATGAATCCAACTTTTTATTTCCCCCCACAAGACCAGCTCTGTGAAATCTCAAAAAACAGACAAGCAAATGATTACACATGAGCAGTACATTGCTGAAACAGGTTGGGAATACTTGCACAGCAGCCATTTGTGTACACGATTTCCCTATGTGACTTAGGATATGGATTGCAGAAACAGGATGAGGGCAAATAGGATGTCACATTTTTAAATATGTTTTTATTGTCCTTTTATATATCAGTGGAAATAAAGTATGCATGTATTTCAAAATTATGCAAATATGCAGCCAAATATAATTTGCTTCAAGGTGAAATACTAATTCAAGGTAAGATTAAAGGTATGGCTAGCTAAGACTTTTAAAATACTGAAACACATAGCCCATTTTGCAAGGATCTGCTCTCAGTCTCAAAGTGGAGAGGTCCATCATAAACTTTGAATTTTCTTGAAATGTATTGAACTTAAACATCCAAATCATATGCACATTTACTCAGGAATAAATCCAACTTAGTGCAATGCATACAGCATTGCAATCTTACTTTGCATTCCCATTTATATATAAACCGCTAAGACTAGTGCCAATTGCCTTCTCAGTAAACACATCAGCACGAGGCTTTGGAGTAAGGGCCAATCCTTTAACATACCTAGAAAATTTCAGATTTCTGATCTTCTGAGTGCTATACAGGCTAGGATTTAAGTCTCCTGCAGAAGTGGAGCTGAGTCCATTCAGTGTTAATTTTTTTTCAGACTCTGAAGGGCTTTTCTTCTTCTCTAAACATCCCTGAGGACTACTGAAACAGCTATCAGGGATAAGGCCAGGTTTCATTTGCTGGACAAGCAATCCAGTCCCTGGTATAAAAAGTTCCTGCTCGATCTGTTTTTCAAGATACATCTTTGCTTGGGATGCTAATGGATTGCCTTTGGTTGGTACATCTTCCCAAGTTAATGGATTATACACAAGATGTCCATCAATAGGGCACGCATTTTCTTTATGCAACCAACGGTCAATGCATTTCCGGTGGAACTGAAAAACAAAATGCATAAGGGACTATATCTTAGTAATTTTCCATTCAAATCTTTTTGAGTCATATCTTATGGGTATGACCAAAAACAATTCTTTGCTAAAAGGACAGATTCTTCTTCTGCATTAGAAAAAAATCAGACATACCATAAATGTTATTCCATTTTGTCAGTGAAACTGATCCAAATCACAGGAGCATTGGGCTCAAGCAGTATAATTAACTTTAGCATTAGCTCAAATGGAATTGACTGTTGTAAATCAATGCACTTAAAGAGTCATTAAGTTCTTGACTCGGTGAAAATTCCACAACTGAATTGATACTTTACAAAATCCACTGCCAATTTTCATAGGGTCTCTCAACTTACAGGCCAATGTTTTCACTTTCCTTTATTTTACATCCTTTGACTCAAGCCCATGGCTACATGTGCACTGTTCACGTGATGTGTTGTGCCAATGGATGCAACACAGTTCATGGGATGCTTTTATAGGGAGACACATAATCTCCAAAATCCTTAAAAATATTTTTGGTGGGCAGCCGCAGTCAGATCTATCTTTTATTTACCTTATGATTACATGGCAGGTATCTTGCAACTTGGCCAAGACAAAATATCTTCAAGCAGAGTCTACATTGCAAACCTGGATCAAGTAAACTGCTGCATTTCCTAACCAGCACAGTAGGCAATGAGTTCACTATGTGCTCCGGTGTGCAACTGAATCTGAAAAGCAAATAATATGATGTGATAATGGTTTGTCTGTGCTCCTCACTCCCCTTTTTGAATTTATTTCTAAATGTTAGTGCAAGTTACACTGTTACAGTATTTTTGAAATCACTAAGTTTTATAATGGATTTGTTACCCATAATCTAACAAAGCATAAATATGATAACACTGTAGTAGTGCTCATTTCAGCAGGACTATAGTACGGGGTAACATCCCCTATAAAATATTTAAGACCAGGTTAAAATATGTGAAATGACTGTTTTCCCCCTAAACTGTTTATGGTTCCCCTTCTCAAGTAACATTTCTTTTAACTAAAAAGGATTCCAGTGAAGTGCATTGAATTTCTCATCTTACATCTCCTTGTCCTTTTCCTCTTTAGACTGTTCCTCTGTGGATAGCTGCCCTATTGGTTCCACTGATCGCCATCTCTGATTCCTTTTCTAGAAGATGAACCAAAAAAGAGGGGAAACCCACTAAGCAATAAAAATAATTAAGGAAAATTATCAATGTTTGCTATTTGATATTATTAACAGAGGAAAATGCTTTTTCTTTTGTATAAAAGATAAAGACTAGTTTACACTAAGGATCTTAAAGACAACACTGCCCTTTGAAGAGTTTGTTATCAGAAGCACTGCAGGTAGCAAGGCAGTGTGTTTGTACAACGATGAGTATCTGTAGCATACAACTGGAGCTGGGCTCAAAAGCCTTAGCCCATGTAGGTCTTAATACATGATCCGCAAGAATATTATGCACTAAGCCAGAGTGGAAAACATGTTTCTACCTACAACTCCCATCAGGCCTAGCACAGCCAACAGAGAGCAATGATGGGAGTCGCAGTTTAACACATTGGAGGGATTATACTTTCCCCATCCCTCAGGGAAAATCAGAGTAGAAAGATAGCTTTTTTGCAGTAGTCACTGCAAACTTAACATTTAGAGAAAAGCATCAGATTTGATCTTTGAGCTAGATCAAATCCCTAATTTGACAGAAGTGCCTTGCAAGGATTTTGGAGATGCTATGTCTCCAATAACTACCTCCCATGAAACACATTGCTGTTAGTTGGTGCAACACTTGTCAGATTAAGAGCACAGTGACAGGTAGCCAAGGGCCTGACTGAAACGAACACACCATTTTTAACAAGAAAGCAGTTGAGGGTAGAAATATTCAAGCAGTTTTGCCTGCTATATAATATACGCATGTCTATTCAGAAGTAGGTCCTGCTATGTTCAATGAAGCTTACTGCACAGGATGGTATCTTTATTCTCCAGTTTGTTTATATCCTGTCTTGTTTCCTTCCAAGGAACTCAAAGTGGATTACATAATTCTTTTCCTCCACTCAATCTTCTCCTCACAGCAATGGTCCTGTGAGGTAGGCTGGGCTGAGAGTCTGTGGCTGGCCCAAAGACACCCAGCTGGCTCCATGGCCAAATGGAGACTAGAACCCAGATTGACTGACTATGGAAAGACATTCAGCAACATCCAGAGAAGACAAGAAAAAAGAAACCACAGATTTTTCTTCCATAGAACTGATTCCTAGGCAGACCCTTCCAACAGGATTGTTTAACTGTAACTGTATTAATGTTTGTCTCTTGGATTAAGATATATTTTAAAAGAAGGAAGGTATTTATACTGTACCTCTCGGAAAACAAAAGGATGAGGATGACAAAAACTTTTATAACACCAATAACACAGGTAGTATTCCGCACATTCAGTACACCTTGAAACAAAAGAATAGTATTAGTAGTTTCCTAATTATACAAGGAATCTTGTTGAAAACGTATTGTTTAGATATAAACAAGTTAACATCTTAAAAATAAAATTGACTTGCTAAATTGGTGAGTATGCAACGAGTATGCACGCTCACGCCTGCTCACAGGCACAAGTGTCCTCACACACTTTTCAAAGAAGAAGAATCTCTGCTCTCCTTTACTTCAGATCTCAAAACTAATCATTCTCAAAGCACATATTACTTCATTTAAGACAAGCCTGCTAGTCAACTGGAAATAGATAAAGTGAAGAGATAAGCAGCATAGGGAAGAAAATGCTTGACAAAATCATTCTTCTCAAATGGACACTAGGTGGAGCAATAGTCTTTCAACCCCTAGCATTTTTAAATGTTGATTGTTACCCTTGATTGATCGGGGAAATATTGTTTGCTTTTGGCTGTTGTAATCTTGTAAATACATTTTAAATTTGAGATTTAGTGATGTTTTAAACCAAAATGGGTAAGTTTCACATTCAAGACATAACAAGTAAATAAGCTACAAGCTGAAATTTAATTTACAACTTCCTATTTTAAGGTTTACATAGATAAATCTAATCCAGCCATTTATGTAGAGATTACTGATTGAATTAGATTTTGTACTGGACCCTATGCTCCAAGATTCATAAATAAAGTAAATGGGAACTCTGCTTTTCAGTGACAGACAGCTCAATGCAATGCATATTTATGGAGAATACACTGAACTATTTTCGATGAGGCTTATTCCCTGGTGTGGTTAGGACTGCAAATCTAGACTATCAAAATGCATTTTCATGAGGAAATTCTGAAGAGTGGAACTACATACATACATAGTTTTGTAGATAACCTTGTGGAATTTTCAGACAACTAACATATACAAACAAATATTAATAACAAAGGTTGCATCAATATGTATGAAGCTTAATACTTGGCTAAGGAAAAGTTAAAAATATCAGAAACATATTAGTGAAAATAGAATTATTTAACAGCTTAAAATGTTTACTTGTAGCAATTTCCCTCAATGGGAAATACTCTGCAATTATTGCAAGGGATTCCAAGGTGTTTGTCCAGACGCTGTTTCTCTGCTACAGTCATAAGTCTTTTGGAGTTTCTGAATTCTTCCAAGATAAGCTTCAATGGTGCAAAATGTTCCCTGCACAGAGGGCACTTCACCAAAGAGTCTTTTTCTAACTCCGTCTGATGGTCAGCCCAAATCTTCATACATAAGATGTGTACATTATTGCCACAACCAAACCTACAGAAAATTAAGTATTAATTATAATATCTTCAAGGGAATTCATATGAAGTGGTCTTTGAAATTATAAAAAGTTATTACAAATAAATACTAGTCTAGGTTTATAACTAAAAAAACAAGTAATATATTCCTGCCTAATAATACATACACTTCTCTTAGCACATAGATACATTTCCTTAGGGTGCAATCCTATTCATATTTAGACAGAAAAGAGCTTACAACTCCTGGCATGCCCCATACAGCATACTTGGGAAGCATAGGCCTTTTGTCCATCTAAACTTGTTATGATTGTGCCTTTTATTTAGAAGTACCAGACACTGAGGACACTCCACTAAATTTTAACACTGTCCCTTGTGTTGTCTCTGACTAAGCACAGTAACATGATTGAGCACAGTTAAGCTGTGAAAATTTAACAAATCTTAACAGTACAAAATACCACTGAGTTCAGTGGGATTTACTCTGAGATAACCCGGTATAGGATTCCAGCCTGAAGAGGTTTATTTTAAAAATCCAACTTATTCTGTGTACAAACAAAGAAGTGACAATGAGAAGTTGTTGAAAGGAACCTGCTCTATATATTGGTACTTGTGCCTACTCCACAGTTAAGTTGCACTAGCCTGTTCCTGCTGCAAACTGCTAAATGTTTCAATTCCACAAAGGGAAATTTGTCCATAGCTGCTGGAAAAAAAGGTGTTTCAATTTTTTAAAGCTCTGAAATGGTTAGAATGTTATTTCTAACATTTACCTTAATAAATGTTAAGGTAATGTTAATGTTAATTCAACATTATTTACCTTAATAACTGAGAAGTCCTAATTTTTTTCTTGCTTAATTTATGGTGGCCAGATCAAAGAATCCTACATGAATTAATTGTGTCTACCAATTCCCAGCTCTGTCCTCCTTTGTATGTGGATCATCCACATGTAAACCCATTCAGAAACATCCCTTAACATAGATTAAACAAATACTGAAATTAAAATAACCAGAGTTCATAATGGAACTGAGGTTATGAATGTACATACTTCAGAACTCACCCAAAGACTTTACTATACTATACACCTCTTAAGTCCCTGAAAATCTGTTGTCTGCCCTAAGACACTGAAACTGGGAGCCCCTAAGGGACCCTGAATAACAACTAAAAAGCTTTCAACTCCTTGACCCATTCAAAAGTGTATTTTCATTTTAAAAAATAACCCTTAAGGTACCAAGCTTCCCTTACTTTTCCTCAACCTGTGCTGACCAGCCGTTCCACAAACAAAACGAGAAGGAAAGGGATGTTTCCCACGCTCCTTTCCCTACGCAGACCTTCCCCTTGCTTTTTCCCTTCATACTCCCTCACCTCTTCACAACAGCCTCACTCTTTCTCCCCACCCCTTGCTATTTTCCCTCCCAGTTTCAGCCTTATTTCTCGCCTTGCTTGTTTTTCTCCCCCAGCTTTGTTCTCTTTCTGGCTTCTCACTCTTGCCTAGTTCTTCAAGGCACCCTCCCAGGTGGCGGCTCTGATCACAAAAGAGGTAGGAACAGCACATGGGGTCAAGTTAGGAAAAAAGCCTTCCAGGAAAGGTATGTGGCTGGGTTTGTACAAGGCAAACAGCTTTGTGCGGTTTCCACAGCACACAGATTTTGCCCCAACCTACTGGTCAGATGATCATGTGTTTCTGTCCTCCTAGCCTTCCCTCACATCCCAGCAGCCCCTGCAATTGAACTCCTAGACATTTCCTGTCTTGTTTATGAGCCACAGCTGCCTCCTTTTGACTGGTCCACTGCAGTCCTAGGGCAGGTTCCCCACTCCTCCGCCCCAAGTGTGCCTACATGTCTGTGACACTTCTACCCACTCCAGCCTCCACATAGTTTTTATTAAATGAAAAATCATTTAATCACAGTTCTTCCTTCCTCCATGTATTTTCATGCTGCCTTCTTGTTTCCACAACTAAGCAAATAAACAAGGAAAAAATCCAGCTGCTTAACCAATAGGAATAAAGTGAGGAAAGACCTATTTGTTGCTAGGGTGCTGAGGGCAGTAGAGATCAAAGGCACAAAGCAACCACTTCCGTGGACACTCTTGCTAGGGGACTCTATGGAGTTTCCATACGAACAATGGTAAAATAGTGATTCTGGGTCCAGAGGACCAAAGAAGTCATGGTTAAGTGTGGCAATCTTAGAACAGACCAGTGATTCCCTCTGTGGTTTTGGAAATCCTATCATGCAGGAACTCTGGAATTGGATCTGAATTACATAACAGACCCACAGAAGTAAGATTTTACCATAGCTTCTCATGTCATACAAATCTGCCATGTGTGTCTGTGTGTGTGTGGGATGGGCAGATGAATGCTACTGAGGTCTATTCAGAAGTAATACCCATTGTTTTACATAACATGCATAGGATTCTACTTAAAATGAGTATTTTGTTGTGTTTCTATGCAGACTGCCTTTGGAATTGTGACTGTTCCTTTGCTTGTACTCAGTTTTTGGGTGAATTGTTTTCTCTTGATTAGCTATCACTCCATGACAGCCAGAATGCGTTAGTCACATTCCCCATGGGAATCATTTTGTGGTGGTCCCCAGAGCAGTTTCTCAAATTTCCAAATATGCCCCTGGGTCTAATACAATATATTTTTGAAGATATATTAAGAACACTTTTCTTTTATGCTGTTGTTTTCTGACAACTTAGTTAAACAAAACATTTGTGAAAATTTCAGTTTTTCATAGCAATTTACTCAATAATAGAGATCTTACCTGCAGTAAGTGACAGGAAGCATTTTCTTGAGCAATGTGTTGTAACAAATAGGGCATACATCCTCATTATCAATTTCTTTTTGTTTAATGTACCCATCATCAGCTCCCTTCAAATCCCTAGCAGTTATTCTTGGTTGGGGAGCAACTTGTAGACCTTGAAGCATGTAGTTAATTTCTCTTTCCACAAGACCCAATTGTAAAGCATCTATAGAAAAGTTCAAAGTTGAAAATTTCTGATAAAGTATCATTCTAGTTGGTTTCCAACTAAATCAGTAATCTAACAAGTAGTCCACTCTAGATCTACACACAGACAACATAGTTCGGGGTTGAGGAGGACACAAACCCTTTCTGGAGACATTGTTTGCAATGCATATGGAAATCAATCAGAACATTTCCCATGTAGCTAGATCGAACCAACCATCTGAAAAGTGACTACTAACCATCTAAAAATGATTTAGAGGATAACTAAAAAACTGTGATATATGGTTAATCCATAACAAGGAAATAAAAAATATGAGACTAGCTACTACTTACATTCATGGTCCCTTGGAAGTTTGAATTTTTTCAGTAATAACCTAAAATTGTAACAAGAAAAGCTTTGTTGTGTTTCAGCAACTTGATAATGTAGCTAAATTATCTCTATCTAAAACTATTCTAGCCTTCCTTTAAGGATAGAACCCTCCATGGGACCCAGATACATTTGTATACTCAAAGTACAGCTGTGTCCTATGTTAAGTCAGGGGAAACTATCTTGCATTCACCAGGAGTTAGGTTCTGATGTTACAACAGTTGTACTGGACAAGGTACCCAGAAAACAGCCTTGTCAAGTTTTCTTGAATGACTGTCAGTTGGTGTAACTAGAGGATGCTGACAAGGTTCTGGGACAACTTCATGCTGCCATATCCATTCTAGAACCTTGCTGTACTTGGCTTATAAAAACTAGCAGGAAGGTAAGAGCAGACTGGGCCAGATTATTGCTTCTTTGCAAGAGGAAGTGCTCCCATGCTGCCTGAAAGAAGTGATGGTACGAGTAAGGCCACTCCTGAAGAAACCCTTTCTGGACCTAGAAGACTTTAACAACTTTAAGGGGTGGCAAATGTTGCTTTCCTGGGTAAGGTCCTTGAATATATAGTGTCCAACCAGTTCCAGGTATTCTTGGATGAGACTGATTATCTGGATTCATTTCAGTTGGGATTTTGGCTGGATTTTGTCATGGAAATAGCTCTGATTGTTCTGTACCAGGAAGGAGATGGAGGAGTGTAACCCTGTCACTACTTGGTGGGTTTCAGTACCATTGACATGATATTCTGCTGAGGCACCTAAGTTGGGAATGAGGGGATATAGGCATTGGATGGCTAGTTCCAAAAGGTGGTACATGGGGAATAATAGCCCCATGTACTCTCCAGAATGGGGTTCCTCAGGGATTGATTTTATCTCCCATGCTTTTCAACATCTACATGAAACTTCTGAGTGGGGTCATCCAGAGTTTTGCAGGGCATTGCCATCAGTGCACTAATGACAGACAACTTCTTTTCATCCACAGCAGTTCAGGCTATGGATGTGCTAACTTATACATGACTACAAAAATGAACTGGATGAGGTCTAAGGAACTTCATTTCAGACACTAAATGCTTTTAGTGGGTGGTTCTCCTGACTTGACAGAAATACTCAATCTGTTCTAGTTGGGATTATACTCCCCTTGAAGGAGCAAGTTTATAGCTTGGGGGTCCTCCTGGAGCTATCTTTGTCACTTGAGCTTCAAGTGGCCTGGAATGCCTTCTACCAGCTCTGGTTGGTGGTTCAGCTATGCTCATATCAGGACAGGGGTAGCCTGCTTTCAGTAATCTATACTCTGGTAATATCTAAGCTAGACACTGCAATGCACGCTACATTGAGCTGCCCTTGAAGATTGTCAAGAAGCTGCACTTGTGCACAAGAGCCAGACTAGTAACTCTGGACACACAAAATTTGGCCTGCTTGTATCAGCTGCCTATATGCTTCTGTACTAATTCAAGGTGCTGGTCTGAAACCAAGGCATATACTGAAATGCCGTATTTTTCGCTCTATAAGACATGCCTGACCATAAGATGCACCTAGTTTTTAGAGGAGGAAAACAAGAAAAAATATTCTGAATCAAATGGGCACATAATCACAGGCACATTCCCCATCACTTCCCCATGGGCTGCACATCTGACAGACTTACTGCACACACATATTCACTCTATAAGACACACAGACATTTCCCCTTTCTTTTGAGGGGGAAAAAGTGCGTCTTATAGAGCAAAAAATACGGTACATAGACCACCTATGCCAAGTATAACCTACTCATACACTCACTCAATATCTTAGGCCTTCCTCTGAGTGCTACCTCTGATGGGGGTTTGGTTGGTAGTAAAAGGAAGATATGTGGCAAATCCTGATTATGCAGCAATCTCCACTGAGGCCTGCTTGACACCAACTCTATCCATTCAGTACCAGGTTCAGACTGCCCTCTATGCTGAAGCATTTAACAGTTCTTCTTAATACATGGGATGGGGTGGGGAGATGCTTAATAGGCCTAGTTGTATTAATTGTCATCAGTGCACTGATGACACACAGCTCTCCTCTTTCATCTCCAGCAGTTCAGACTATGGTTATGCTAAACAAATTTGACTGGTGCATCAAGACCCATACCGGGTCACAACCTGACCTAATGGGGGTCACAACAGCGGTAGTACCATTATCCATATGTATTTGGACTGCCAAATGCAGTGTTTGGACTAGAGGTGGGTTTTGAATGGAAAAAGTTTAAGGTGTCTTTACCATGCTGCATCAGGCTTTATTTAAAAGTATAATTCTTTGATTTCAGTACGTATCTACTTAAGGATGTTCTGAGTAGCACTCTTACAATTCTCTACCCACTTCCCACTAATCTTCTTCTCCTTCTGCATCTCCACTTTTTTAAAAAATCACTTTAGCCCTTTCCTAAGTGTCCTCTCGTTTTATCACTCCTTTTTGAGGACACTCTTCTTCCCCAGTCATTTCAAAATATTTACTTGAATTTAAAACAAAAACAAAAACTGAGCAACTGTGTCCTTGAGTATAAATAATATAGGTATATGGTTTCATATTTAAAAATCAATTTACCAGCAGATATGTTTACAGAGGTCCTTGTCTTTCACAAATACTGAGCAGGTGCATGAGTGGGGGTTCCCCAGGGACACCTTATGCCACAGCAACAGAAAGAAAATGCTTTTTAAAACATGTAACACAATGCAACATGGAGATAAATGAAGGCTGATATGACAATGAAAATATATCTAGAATGTTTACTAACCCCTTTTAATTCCTCTTGTAGTTTTTCTTACACAACATATCTACAAAAAATATGCTCTGTGTTTATAGATTATAATACTAGCTTGTGCTGATGAATCTCTGCAAATGTATCTCCAGAAACTATGGCTTTTGCTGTTAGCACTAATCACTAAGCTAGGACAGGAGTAAATGGGGCATGATTGGGTTATATTATTACCAATGGCAAAATGAACTGCTCTGAGAGCTACTGAGGGATACAAATATAGATGTGAGGATCTCCAGGTGCACCCTATTCACTGGAAGTATGCATTTCACCCTTTTTTTAATACAACTGAAGTATACCAAGAAAGGGTATCAATGTGTGCCTTTCTCACATGCAGCTTTCTTTTCCGAATTAAGGCAGTGTTATGCAGCGCCTTATATACATAACCCCAAGTGAAACGCAGTGATGTCTATGCCTTAGCCTTTGCTCTCTGGAGAACCATTCCTTCTTTTTCTTACAAGTATTACATCCTGTGACACTCTCATGGCATTTTATCTAATACTTGAAAAGCTTCAAAAACTGGCTTGAGCTTACTCAACTGTTAGGAAATTAGAGGATGACTAATGGAAAAATGTAAATGCTATTTTTATTTTATGAACTTCTTCAGTCAATCATATGATTGTACTGAAGAAATCTGTTTCATGACTGGAGTTTATGACACAGGAACTGTGGCTTTGCCTCTCTGTGTTTATGGAAAGAGAAGTACTCAACAGAAGGCTGCATACACTACAAAAATGATCTTTAATAAACGATACTTAATCAGAAACAAGCTGAGTGAAAAGGTGGTAAAGCAGGCAGAACTGAACATAAATTTGTGTTGCTCTTTATACAATATGGTTATTTTCTATCCCCACCAAGTGGAGGTGGCACCAATAGTGGAAATAACATAGACCTGTTGATGCTTCTATTTATTTGGTTACTGTAAGACCTGTTACTTGAACCACAGATATGAAGACTCTCTTCCCATGGAAGTTAAATAGTAATACTATAAATGTAAAGGAGTAGTGAACAGCATATTGGAAAAGAGGCCCCCGTTTCATTTCTAAGTACTCTGGCTTTACTGAGAAATCAAGTTCCACATTCAACCAAAGAGGAGAAAGTAGCTGATTTATATAAAGTAGTGATCATAATTCCTTGGTGTGGGAAGGTGCTTTTACACATGTTCAAAGTCATTCTCTCTTCACTGTTAAGCAAGCTACAACAGATGTGAGAGTCAGTGTGATGTGGTGAAAAGTATCAGCCTAAGACTGAGCAAAAGCCAGAGTTCAACTTCCCAGCTCAGCTGTTTGTTTATTTACAGCACTTACGTACCAGCTATAAATAACTATACCTATTTATATTCTTTCATCTAAATAATTTCAGAGCAGTGAACAATAAAAGATAAAAAATAAAACACTATACTACATGCTTTTGTTTTTAAAAACAGGGCATCAATAAATGCCTATAAAATTCATTATTTGACCTTGGGATCAGCTACTCTTTCTTTCAGTCTGACCCATCTTACAGGTCACCTGCTCTCAGAAATGGAGATCAGCTATGACTTCTCTGTATATATGTCTGATGTGCTACACCCACCATCAATTCATTCCTTCTGCAAATTTGTTTTGAGACTGAATCTAAACGACAGGTTTCCAGGCCAAATTTTCTGTTTCTTCTCCCATCTCGCTTTGTTTCGTTTTGTTTTTTGAACCAACTAGTGACTAGATGAGTCCTAACTTGCTGAAGAGTTTTGGATCGAAACTCAAACGCTTACCCGCGTTTGTGGAATTTCGTGCCTAATCAAAGGACGGCCTAATTGTGGATTCCAGTATGTTTTCCCCTCTCGTAGACTAGCACTTGGCTGTCTACTTTTCTCTCACCTTAGTAAGGTTGCTATGAAGGAGAATGCAAGGGAATCAAGTTCGCCTGAATTTGGGAGCAATACTCACTACGCATGCTCCTCACGCTGAACAGAGATTCGTGGACGAAGCCATGGCACAGCCTCAGTGGGTCTGAGAGGGAAGGGGCACTGCTAGTAAAAGCGTCTCAGAAGTGACGCCAGTCCCGAAAGGCGCGATTCTTTGCAGGCAGAAAACAAGGCCTACAACTCCCAGCATGCCGCGGGAGCATACTGGGAGTTGTAGGCCTTTTTTGTTCGGTCTACACTTTCAAAGGATTGCACCTTAAAGGGCCCGTCCCCCCCTTGGCCGGTATGTGGAAACTCGTTGGGTTTTCCTCTTCCGGAGCCTCCTTTACGGTGGCCTAGCCTACCCTGTACTCCGCCGCCTGCTGCTCTTCCTCCTGCAGGACGAAAGCGGTAGGCCCCAACTCCCGCACGACGCGCATGGTACTACCCAGCGCTTGGTCCTGCCGCCAGCCCAGCTCTGGGCTGGCGGAGACTCGTCGCCGCGGCATGGCGGGCGGCCGCAGCATGGCGGGCCGCCGCCACCAAACCGTCTCTTTTCCAACGCCCAGTCTCCTCCGGCCTCTGCCGCGCGGGCGCAGGTTCCCATGGAGACGGGGGCAGCGCGACCCGCCACCGCCCCGCGCTCAGCCCTGCAAGGCTCTGAGAGGTGGCACAGGGAGGAGGAGGAACGTGGGCTAGCGGTTCCCATGGAGACGGGGGCAGCGCGCGCCTCGCCGCCGCCGCGCGCTCAGCCCTGCTTTCTTCCCGGGCTATGAGCGGTGGCAGAGGCAGGATGGAGGAGGAGGACGCGCGCAGAGGGTTCCCATGGAGACAACGTGCGAGAGGCGGTGCAACGTCCCGTCCTACCTCGTAAGGTGGTGGACGACTGGACGAACATCCTTCGTCTGATCCAGGAGGGCGTATTTTATGTTTTAACTCAGAAGTCTGCCCCAATGGATGGCATCCACTCCTAATAAAATGTGCATAGGATTGTGGTCGTAGCCCGATGGGTCCCGTTCTGATGTAGTAATGGAACAATTCGATTTAGCTACTTGTTGAAACCACTGAACTGCATACATACAAAGTAATACTGTTAAAGTTACTAGCACATTAGGACAACTTTCTGAAAATCATAGAATCAGAATAGTAGAGTTGGAAGGGGCAAGAGGGCCGTGGGTTACAACCCTTGCTCAGTGCAGGGCTGAAAGTTAAACCACCCTTCTCAGATGGCTGTCCAGTTGCATCTTGAGTGCATCCAGTGTGGGAAAGCCCAGCACCTCCCTAGGACATTGGTTCCCTGGTCATACTGCTCTAACAGCCAGGAAGTTCTTCCTGATGTTCAGCCAGAACTTGGCGTGTTCAAGCAGACATTACGACTTGGTTGCAATCCAAAATATTTATTGTGTGAACTGATAGGGTACTGTGTTTTGAGCCAATTCCCATCAGCCCCAGTCAGCACAGCAGTGGTCAGGAACACTTGGAACTGTGCTGCAAAATATCTAGAGGGTACCAGGTTGGGCAATGTTAGGTTATAGCACTGGGGTAATTTTTATTTTAGGAAAATAGGGTGGAGGCATGATAGAGGCTTATAAAGTTATGAATTATGTGCAGAAAAACGTTTTTTGCATGTACAGTGACACACTCACTGTACTCAAACTCAACCAGTACAATTAAGTGGCCATTGATAAAATATAGAAAAAGAAAGCTTCACCACTGTACAATTAGTTTATGGAATTCACTGGCACATGATGTGGCAATGACCTCTGGACTGGATGACTTTAAAAGGGATTAGGCAAATTCATGGAAAATAAAGGTATCAATAGCTATTAGGCATGACAAGTGGAACCTTCAACAAAATGTTGTGTGAAGTACTGCTGTTCAGTATACTCCATTTTGTTCTCCTACCACCCTGTATTCCATTCCCCACCATAACAGGCAACATTTCACGGTCACTGAACTCCCTCAGACTCCATTGGACTGTTTATGAGAATTTCCCCAGGTTTTCCATCCCCCACAAATATATTTTTGTCTTTCTGTCAACCTGCTGATACCTCCTTTGTGTGTGCACATTTATTTATTTATTCATTCATTTATTTAAAATATTTCTATGCCCCCTATTCTACCAACGGCATCCCTAGGAGGCTCACAATACTAAAATAACAACATCCAAACAACTCACAATATTAAAACTCAGCGATAAAATTTTAAACAGTGTTTGTGTGTGTGTGGGGGGGCAGGGGTGCCATTTTGGCTACCTAAGCAATGCTAGAGAAATGAGATCACTGCCGGGATATTATCATTAAACAAAACCTTCATCCTCAGTGGCTGTAGGCCACTGAATGCTAGTTGCTAAAAGAGTGAAGAAGGGTTATTATCAAGAAGTGTGTCTTTTGTTATGTTCTTATGTTCATTTCTTTGACATGCAGTAATCTAAAACGGACTGCTAAACTAGATGGACCATTGGTGTGAAACAGTAGTGTGGTTCTTCTATGCAAGCCCCAGTAAGAGCTTTTGGCTTTAGAATATTCAGAATATAAAATTATTGAAGGCATTTCATATGTACATATGGCAGCTTTTCTCAAGCTGATGCCCTACCAATGTGTTGGATGGTAACTCCTATCATCACCAACCAGCTGGCTGGAAATTATGGGATGTGTATTCCAACATATCTGGAAAGTGTCAGTTCGGAGAAGGCTAGCATACAGAACAGTGTTGGGTGGAGACAGGGAGGGGATGGGAAACAATGTCTTGGATCCTAAGACAGGTTCATTTGAGGAAGTTCACGAAAGGAATGTTTTCCACCTCCTCCTCCTCCCTGCAGACCTCTGAGATCCCTGAAAAGCTTCTCCGGAGGACACCCCCTCCCCTGAACAATGTGAGGTGTGGCACAGGGGAACTTCTGGGTGGAGGAGACTTTCCTTCTAAAGTTGTCTTAGGTTCCCTGCCCTCCTGCAGCAGCTTCCCAAGCCACATCCCACACTGCTCATGGGGGTTTCCCTATTCATTGGATAGGCTTTTTAGGAGCCACAGATAAGTGCAGGCGAGGAACACTCCTTCCATAAATTTCCTTATTATCTTGGGAGTCAAGCTTCCCTTAAATATATTTATGGCATGTTAAGAAATCTAGGCTAGTTAAAAGGTAGCTCTAGCTGAATGTTAATGATTTTACTGAAGTATTACTAATACTGTGTGTGGTCAGAGGAATCAGACTGTGCCTTTAAACCAAATCTAAATGGATAAATGTACTATTAAGCACTGGAACACTAAACAGATTGTTTTCTATTTCTGGCAAAATTCATCAACATTTCCAGCTATTTTTAAGAGATCCCAGCTCTGAAAGTGTTCCGTAAAAGATTTAACTTTCCCCTCTTGTAAGCATGTTTTCAGTTTCCTTAGTACAATAACCTTTGACAATTTGCCTAATAAAGCTCACTATGAATTATGATATTTTATTTGTTGGGTTCATGTTGTGCTCAACTTTGGAGACACTTTTAGTACTTCCCTTTGACTAGTGAGTTCCATACCTGTGTTTTCCATATGGACTGGGAACAGTTGCTTTCAGCTTTAATCTAATCTCAGGGATAAGAGAAATATCTTTGAAAGGATGCAGAGAAAACAAAAATAGATTTATAGTATTTGCCTTATTTGTAATACAAAGCAAACACCTAGAAATCTGAAAACAAGCAAACAAGGATGGATGTTCTTGCCAAAAAGAGCCTTTGTAGCTCTCTCCAGGGTAAACTGGATTTAAGTCATGATTTAAGTCACTATGCAAAAAGACTTGATTTAATCATGTGATTCTGCACTACCCTAAAAGTGCACTCTTCCTTGCCATAAACTGAATCCGTATTTTATGCAACTGAATTACTAACTTCCACTGAAACAGATATTTGGGAAGGCTCAGGAAGGTGAACAATCATGAGATCATCTGACCAGAAAGTTAAAGCAAAAATCCATGTGCCAAGGAAACACTTCAGGGTTGTTGACCATGTTGTATGAACCCAGCCAAGGTGTAATTAAAAGAAAATTTTGTTTGGCCACTAAGAAAATGTTTCAGTATGTATAAGCAGATTGATATATATTTAAGGGAAGCATTAAATAACACTGTATCCACTAGCATCCTGAATTGATGGTCTTAACAGTATTCTGCCACAGCCTTACCAAACCTGATGTCCTCTAGATATTGTAGGCTACAACTCCCAGCATCCACAGCCATGCTGACTGGAGCTGATGGGAGTTGAAGTCTAAAATAACTGGAAGACTCCAAGTTCTGGACTGCTGCTCTATGAAATGAATGCTCTGAATATGTTCATTGGCTCTCTGTTTTTCTACAGTGAGCTGGAATCATTTGGTGGTGAGGGACTTACTTTTAGAGATAAATCACAGAAAAACAGAGGACATTGGAATTTCATTTAGTTAGTCCTCAGGTTACATCTGATACATCAGCGTGTGTGTGTGTATGAGAAAGAGAGAGAAGGTTTGTGTCATGTTTTATGCCTCTATAACTGTATCCTGTTTCCGTTCTGTTCCTATTTCTATTGAAATTACTGGTTGTGATTCCAGTAATGTCAGTTTTATGAGGCTACTCAAATGGGGAAAGTGATGAGATGTAATGCAGATAACAAGGTAAAAAGCAGAATCCTTTGCTACTGCATTTTTTAATCAGGCACATTCCTTGTGAGAAAAATAAGGAGACTTGTTACTGCTATATAATTTAATCAAGATTGTCAAAGTTTATAGGAAGTCAGCCATTTAACTGATTTTAAATAGATTTTTTGCAAGTTTAGAAAATAAATAGCCCTTAGGCATTCATAAAATTGCAGGTGGTTCTATTGGTCAATTCAGGGCTGATGGTTGTAGTAGCTGTTTTTTTTTCCTCTTAAGGTTACTGACCTGATCTTGGATTACAGCCAAACTTGTCACCTCCCTATCTTTCAATTTGTTCATAATAAAGATGAACAGCCTAGTCTTACCTATATACCCAGCAGGTATCTATCTATCTATATATAAATCTCTCTCTCTCTCTCTCTCTCTCTCTCTCTCTCTCTCTCTCTCTCT